CTTTTATTTAAATATATAATATTTTTTTAAGAAATGACTCTGTGACAATATGACTCTAAATATGATCATATTATATATTTGTATAATATATAATATGATCTCAAACTAAATAATTATGTTTTTTGGTATAAAATTGAATAAACTGAAAACCGATGGTATATAAACCAAATCAAATTGAAGTACATATAGATTTAGAATAGTAGTTATATTTTAATGATCGAAATACCAAAAAATTGAGCCGAACCGAAACCCGATATCCGGATTGAGCACCTATAATCCGAATGAAACCGAACTATTGTTTCATTTTTCAAAACATAATAAAAATAATAGCTTCATCCCGCGCAAGGCGCGGATCTTATCCTAGTTTATATTTATTTAACAATTTTATTATAATTCTCGGCCGTAAATAGAATATTCACACCGATGCGGATCAAATTGTAGTTCCAATTAGAAAAAGTTATCGCATTGTCTGTTGAATTCTTTTAATTTATTGGTATACTGAGCTACCTAAACTTTCTGACAAGAAATCAATTTGGTTTGTCAATAATTAAATGCTCTATTTATTTTAAGAAAATGTCCCTTCATAGTTTAGATTATAATGTCGCCTTGTGTAAATTGTGGTATTCATTAAAATAAGGGAATGATTCGATCAAAGTGAAATATAGACAAACTAAACAATGGTACGCCGCTCATGGAACACAAGTCGACTCACATGGCCAGCAATGTTAATGCCATTATCAAAAACACACGGTTCGTTCTCAGTGCCGTGCAGACGAACTGCTGATAGATAAGCACGATACCGAGAAAAATTGCACAATCCGCAAAGTTAAGTGACAAAAGCTAATCGCTTATAACATCTAAATGGTAATTAGTTCTTTTTTTAAATGGTAATAACATGTAATGGAAAGAAATTACACATGTTAAAACTTAAAATTAATTAAAATAAACAAAAAGTGTTTAAATTTTATTTATAATTTTTTTGGGTAAAAAAAAATGGTTTTACCTTTTTACTGAAAACCCAGACATTTTAAATAGTCTCTTCTACCGCGAATTAAGTTCAAGTGGCGGAAGTTACAGCCGCAACTCCTTTACCACTAGGCTAATTCGACATTAGTATTTACCAACGTTGAATACCAACGTTGAATTAGCTTAGTTGTAAAGGGGTTGCGGCTGTAACTTCCGTCACTTGGATTCAATTCATATTGGGAGAGATTATTTTCAAAGTTTGAGTTCCCGGCAAAGAGATGAAACCACCATTTATAAAATTATTGTACTTAGTTTCTGTCTATTTCATTGTTATCTGACTGACACTTCAACAAATTTTTTTGCTCAACATATTTAAGCAAAATGCCATTTTATAATATCTGTGTTAAATGTGCGGTATCCATTAAAAAAGAAGACCAATTAAAAGTTGGTTCAGATGGCCAGCGCACTTGCACACACCCGGCTCTCAATGCCTTATTTATGCAAATGTGGCCGTCTCACTTGGAGACTCGTATAATCTAAGTATCCTTAGTTATTATTTGAAAAGTAATTTTGAAAAAAATAATATGACATGGTATACTAATAAATATGATATGGTTTGATATTAATTATGACATGGACATTTACATTAATTGTTATTTTTTATTTTGGTAAGTTTCTAAAAATTGGTAATATTTCATAAATCATCATTAATATAACAATAAATAATCTAATATTAAAATAAGATGGAATAACATTTTAAAATTTTCGAAATATTATTAAAATTATTTTTATAATTTATTATTGTTATTACTAAAACAAACTTCAAAACTATGCAATTTAAAAAATATATATAAATTTCTAATCCATTACTATTAGCTTCTTTTAAATATTTACAAAATGTAGAAATATTATTTAGTTTTAAGTTTTTATTTGAGAAGTTATTTTGAAAGAAAAAGATGACATGACATACTAACAAATATGACATGAACATCTACATTAATTGTTATTTTTATTTTGGTAAGTTTCTAAAATGTGATAATATTTCATAAATCATCATTAATATAACAATAAATAATCTAATAGTAAAATAAAATGGAATAACATTTTAAATTTTTGAAATATTCATAAATTTATTTTTATAATTTATAATTGTTATTACTAAAACAAACTTCAAAAATTATGCAGTTTAAAAATATATATAATTTTCTAATCCATTACCATGATCTTCTTTTAAATACAAATTGTAGAAATATTATATAGTTTTTAAGTTTTTATAATTATATACCTAACAAAATAATAATGTTATATAATTTATTTAATATATTTTAAATAAAATCAATAGATAAAAAAATTCTTAGATCATAGTTTTAAATATATACATATATATTATTAAATGTAAATAAAATAAAATTATATTTTATCTTATTTTATATATAACTAAAGTAAAATTACAATATTGTACATAAATACTAAAATTTAAAAATGAACAAACATTTATTAATAAATATGATTTAATTTTTTGAAAAAAATTATTTATGCACATGGCTTAGGAAAACACATAGTCTTTTTTTTTTTCTAACGCTTTGTTTTATTGATGATGATTTGCATCTATTACATCGCTGAAGAAAACTACGAAATGAGAAACTAATGGTCTTACGCACCGGAAATGAATAACATCAATAACGACATATTAGGAATAACAAACTAGTCTTGTTCGAAATAAGATAAGTTAGGTGTTCCCGTTCCAGCAATAGCAGACGGACTTCTAATATCTTCAACAAAAACAAGAGAATAATTCTCATAGCGAAGACAAATCTTCTTCTTCAATTGCCTTTATCAATTTTGTTCCGAGTTAGCTTCACTTAAACTACCGTTGAACTAATTTGAACTACAACATACAAATCAAATAGATAGTCGAACACATCCATTAACACCACCTTTAAACACATGTCCATAAAGACAATAGAAAAGTGATATCAAGCACTCTCTGCCACTCAACACGTCCCCACCACAGAACACAATAGAATGAATAAAAACCTGACCACCACATGCCATCACGCAGAAGAAATCAAAGCCGTCAATAAACATAGAAACAAATCTAGTAAACTATCACACCGCAGCCAAACCACCGAGAAACCACGAGATCTAATCCAAAAATCTTAGGGATCTCAGCATAGCAAATGCAGGGACAGCCAAAGACAGAATAAAAACGATAAGGAGAAGGGAAAGAAGGCCTCCGACGACCACGAGAAGACAAGGTGGCCGCCGGAGCAAAACTAGGAAAACACATAGTCTAACCTTAAACTTTTCACAGTTTTATAATACAGTAAAACCTCTATAAATTAATAATGTTGAAAATCCACCAAAACTCATGTATACCTTCTAATAAATAAGCCAAGTATTGATGACTATTGAGATTCGTATTAGCTACATAAGTTTTGTTAGAGGTTCCATCGGTTCATAAGCATTACCAAAAATAAAACACATCTTCTAAACATGACAGTTAGGCAATGGATGCTTATTAGAGACTTGGAGTCTTGGATACATAATGGGAATAACATCCTTAATGGACCAACTATATCAAAATTACAAGTGGTTAATACAAAACTGAATCATATGACAAAGCAAGCCCAATTTCTTAATTTTTCTTTTTTTCTTTGAATTTCACCTGTAACAAAATCACTAAAAAAATGTAACAATCACCCCACCTTTTCATTTCACCTTTTTAAAATTCAAAAAATCCGCAGGTTAGAAACTAGTGAATTTTTTCACAAGAAATATCATCATCATCAACGTAACATATACACTTATTTCATTAAAGAGGAGGGAGCGTGGATCCGACGTGGCATATAGCCGTTAATCACAAGCCGTTCACATGCTTACCTGTCACGACCTTTTTAAATTTTCTCCTTTCCCACAACTAATTTTATTATTTTCAGACAAATCCACCTACAAGAAAATCCGACCGTTGTTTGAGTTTATCTTCTTCTTGTCCGAAACAGCAAAACTCACATTCCCAAAAAGCTTCCATTTTTTATTTTATTTTTGCTCCCTCTTAGCTCAAACACAAAACCTAAAGAGACACACTTGATCTCGTTCTCTCTTTGCAACGAAGATGCTGAGCGATTATGGTATAACGAAGGAAGACATGGTAATCGAGGAAGCTCAAGGCTACCCGATAGCTTACGCAAAGATCTGTCGCGACTTCGATGCATATCCGTACAGAAATGGACCTCCTTTCACTTTCACACCGTACATTCTGCAACATAACGAGGTAAATCTAATCGAACTCAATACATTAACCAAAAACGAAATAAACATAACAAAAAATTGATCTTTATAAAAAAAAAATTTGATCTTTATGATGTGTGTTGTTTGTTTGTATCTGAAGAACTCAAGATACAGAGAATTAGATCAGATGTTTCCAGTGATTGATCCGAAAGCAAGACCAACAACAAAACCGAAGATCTTCCTAAGTCTGCTATGGAAACAACTTAATCATCTAGGGTAAGGACTTGTTGTGTCATCACACAGTGAATGAGATTGTGATATTAAGTAACACTAGAGTCATTTTGTTTTGTAGCAATGCTGGGTTTGATCCGGCTGTTATTCGGATTGATCCGTATGGGAATGTTCTTTACTTCCACGCTGATTCAGCTTCTCCTCTCGCTTGGGGTTTTGATCATTGGTTCCCTATCTCAAGTAAACAACACAACATCCTCAGTTTATTGCCTCTTTTTAAGGTTCTTGTTTTATCGTCTGATGGATTAAATTGTTGTTAGGAGGAGGGTTAACAGTGCCAAGCAATTTAAGGATAGTGCAATGGCAAGCACGCAAGAACAAGAAGGACAAACTTGAGTTCTTAGTACCATGGTGGGATCTTCAAGTTGGCATCACAGTGAATCAGTTCCTGTCTATTTTCGCTGCTTCGAGTTCTGATTTCAAGAAGAGAGCATTTTCGTTCTTGTTCAAAGAAGGTGAAAGTGAGGAACTTAACGGCTCACAAACTGTTGACTCACATCGTTTCCCTCAGCATTTTGTTGAATCAAAGGAGAAGTTTGGTCTTGCTTCAGCTGCAGTTGTTGTTTCTAGAAGAGATCCTTATGACCCTTCATTAGTCTTGAGGTCTCTTGATTACAATCGTCAGTCACCTGGTTAGTAACTAACTACTAGGTGTTATGCCCGCATCTTACAATATATACCAATTATTTGCTAAGTAATTAAGGATAGCAGTGACTTTTAACGGCTCTAAATAAAAATCACTTCGCAAATAATAGTATTCTCGGTTTTTCGGTTATGGTAAGTCATGATTTTTGTGTTGCTATACTGCAGCAAGGAAGATGAGAGTGGGTGCAATGAAGGAGAATGAGACTCCAGACTTGATGAAGAATCCTTATCAAGCCATTGTAGCTGCTAGGGACTCACTGAGACACCGAGAGGAAGCACAGAATATGAGAGTTGAGATGAAGAAGTTAGATGATGAGATGAATGATTTGAAAAGAAAAAACAATGAAGAGCAGCTTACTATACAGGAGCTGGAGAGTGAGCTGATGAAGCGGAGAAGAAGAGCTGAGAAGTGCAGGAGAGTGGCAGAAGCTCAATGCTCGTATAGGAATACGCTTGAGAAGATGATCCGTGATGCTATGCACCAGTAAGATGTTTCTTGATTTGTCTCTATACAACTGTGATATGGTTAGCTTAATGTTGTTTAACTTTGTTTGTTTTGTAGGAGTGTTGTGTATAAGGAACAAGTGAGGCTAAACCAGGCTGCAAGTAGTGCACTTATGGCGAGATTAGAGGCGCAGAAGGCGATTTGTGATGGTTCAGAGAAAGAGCTTCACAAGAAGTTTAAAGAAAGAGAGGAGCTGGAGAATCAAGTGAGGCCTGAACTGGAGAAAGCAAGGAAAAGATCAAGAATTTTGCTGAGTGATGAAGATGACATGTTGGGACACGACAGAGACATGAAGTTGTCTTTGTATCTTCCTGGAACAAGTGAAGACACGTCTTTACAAAAGGAGTTAAGGGTACACTTTGAAGAAGATCATAAGGCAGCAACTTCTGAGGCTGAATATCAGAAGCATGGGGAAATAGAAGAGGAACAGGAGATTCAAGAGGTGTCTGAGAAGTCTCCTGTTGTGTTAGAATATGATAAAGCCATTGAGGATAAGCTAGACAGCAGAAGCTTCAGAGCATTTCCTGTTTTGAAGGAACAAGAGATTGAGGAAGAAGATGAGGAAAGCAGGAGAGAGCGAGGGAAAGGGAATGTTGAGAAATGGCTCCACATATTACTAGAGAACAACGGCAAAACCACCAATCCACAGGATCTTGAAGCTGAAAGAAGCAAAAAGATTGATGAAATGATTGAGAAACTAGACCACAAGTTTCCTCTACTTGACAAGGCTACTGAAGAAGATGTGGCTGAGGAGGCAAACAACAACAACACAAACAAGGTGGAAACAAGCTCACGTAGAAGCAGAATGAGTTTTGATTTGAAGAACACACCAGAGAAGAGTGGCAGAGACAAAGTGGTGAAAAGATCAGAGAGTGCTAGATCTTTCAGAAAGATCCCATCATCTCCTTCACTAATCTTTGGAAGGAAGAAGCCAGTGGTTACAAGTCATGACGATGAGAATGAATATCTCGTTAAGAACAACTTCATCAAGTCATCTCTCCAAACAATCAAAAGAGCTGTCAAATTCTAAGACACCATATTTTCATTACATGCATGTTGTTGAGTTTCTTGATTCATTGTTTGTGTACAAAAAAAGACTTCCTCTATGTGTAATAATAACAGCTTGTTGTGTTGTTTTCATTAAGACATAGATTTTCTCCACCTTGAAGGTGTTCTTCCTTTAACAAGCCTTGTCTTCATATTCCCTGGAGTCTGAGGTTCAAACCCATCACCATTCTCAACGTTAGTCATCTCCTCAACGCTAACACTTCCTCTAATAGAAGGCACTAACCCAAGCCTCTTCCACCTGAAAAACCCTCCTTTACTTCCACCACTCTTCTTCTCCATAAGCCTCTCAACTTGCAAATGCATTGCACTGCACTCACTCTGCAGCCTCGCTACATCTTCTCTAAGCCTCTTTATCTCTGCTTGCTGAACGTTCATCTCGCGTTTAGACAAGCACCTCGCTCCAGAGCCTGGTGGGTCAAAGTAATGTTGTGAGCCTGAAGGGTTTGTTGGACTCCTTGTTAAGCTACCACTCCAGTCAACATGACGGCTTAGCTTTGTCTGCTCGGTGAATAATACTCTGATGATTGCTCTCACTGGTAGACGGTCATTCTGAGCTGCGTGGAGAGCTGCTTCTGGTGAGAGTTTTCTGCTGTCAATGAGTCTGCAAAGTTCTTTCCTTTCTTGCTTCAACACCTGAGGATGCGCCTGTAATTGAATTGAGTGAGTGTCAAGAAATGAATTTCCATTCCAAAGTTTATAAGCTTTAGTACTAATGAATATTTTCAAATATAACTCTTTTTAAAAGTTTATACCAAAAATAAACACCAAATGATAAAAACTCCCAATATAGCATCCATTTGATTAGAGAAACCAAAATTACTCTAATTCTTAAACTTAATATTAATCACACCCTCTAAAAAAGAAACCCTAAACCTAAATCTAAATATGAAATGTATATTTATTTTTTTATCTTTAATATATACTTCATCTGTTTCATAATATATAATGATTTCAGGAAAAAATAATATTTCAAAATGTAAGATGTTTTGACAGATCTATGTAGTTTTAAATTTATGGAAATGGTTTAACTAATTAGATTTTACAACCTCTTTATATTTACTTAAATTATTTTTAATTTATATCTTTAAACATGCTTTTAGAAGAAGAATGAATTTTATTCAAAATGCTTTAACCCAAAACATTATACATTATGAAACAGAGGAGTACTATTTTGATGAATGTATGCTAACTTTGTTATAAAAACATGATTAAGTGTAGTTATTAAATAGTAACTTTCTTAATATTATTACCTTGAGGTATGTATCAATGGCGCGGTACAAGCCATCCTCCATGGTACGAGCATAGCTAGGCAGAGCTTCAATTAAAGAAACAAACTCCGGTAGAGTCAAACCACCGTCAACGGCTGCTTCAGCCAAGTAAGAGTCAACAAGCTTAGCCACTTTAACTAGCGCCGCACCGGTTTTAACACCTTCACTATCCAACCCAACGAACTTCTTCACGAGCCGAGTCACGAGCTCAACGTCAAACAAAGTCTTAGACGTGTGGCTGAAGGAAGGTATCATAAGCTCCTTGAGCGAGGCTTGGTCTAGCTGCCACGCCACTCTGTTCTCGAGCTCCGTTAAGTAGTTAAGATTAGCTCCGACCATCTTCGCCGTCCTGAGGAGACGGAGGAGGAAGTTGCAAGGAACGGAGTCTTTCTCCGGCGGGAGGATTCCGATTAGGGTTTCGACGAAGAAACGTTTTTTCATTACAGAAGCTGTGACGCTTTCTGTCTTTGGTGGTGGTGTGGTGGTGGAGACGTTGCCGGAGAGATCAGGGAGCCATTTGGAAGCGTAGTGAGCGATGATGGAGCCGATTAGGTCTGGTCTGATGCCTTTGGATTTGATGCCGGAGATTGTTTTGACGAAGTAGTTCATGTCTTGGATACAAGCTTCGTCGAACCAAGAGTAGTACTCCATGTCTCCGGCGAATGTTTCTTGGTTGCTGGAGATGGTGACGGGTTCAGGCGAAGGTGCTTTCTTCATTTTGGTTTGTGTTCTGTTCCACCGTGAGCTCGGAGTTCACTGAAGTAGAATGGTTTTTTTTTTTATTAAAAGACCATAGAATGGTTCCAAGAAAGTGTTTGATTGAATGGTCTTTTTACATTTTCCTATGATTATTTTTTTTTTTTTGCGAGAAAGGCTCTTCACAGGGCGTAATCATGACTTGGTGCAAATCTCCTACATAAAGAAACAAAGTTTTGGATTAATGTACCATTAATTTTCATTATCTTAAAATATTGATATGTGATACATATTCATTCACTAATCACTACTGCATATATACATTACCCAGCAATTAAATCAAACATGATTTTAAATTAATTGAAAGTTTTGGTTAAATTATTTTCTTTTTGGTCGGCAATATAAAGTACGTACATGATCCTAATGTTAAGAGGATTGAGAGCCTGTGGAGGAAGATAGAGATAATAGAAGGATGAAGACAAATTCAACCCCTCCTTGATTTGCCACAAATATATAAAAAAATTTAATATTACAAAGGGAATATAATCAATGCATAGCTGTGTCTTTATTCGCTAGTCTCTACGATTAGGGCTGGGCATTTTATCCGTTAAATTTGATTCGATTCGTTATTTGTTTCGATTCGATCCGAAAATTCCGGATATCCGTAAACTTTCGAATCAAAGCAAATACTAAAAATCAGTATTCGTTAAAATCGAAGCAAATCACAAATATTAAAATTTTGGGAAGCGGATATCCGATCCGATCCGGAAGTATATAAATATATGTATATCTTGATTATATTTAAAATTTTGTATGTATAATTATATAATTATTATTTAAAATTTTATATAATTATTATTTTAGCACATGATTTTGAACAATTTTATTCACATTATTGTTTATAAAAAGTATTACATAAAAAGAGAGACAAAATTTTATGACAATTACATTTTTTCTTAAATTTTGTGTTGTTATAATTGTAACTTAAACTTAAAAAATTGCAAAATATGTTAATTCACTAGTTCTTTTAATTTTTATTTTATATATCATGCAAAAAAATATTTTTACAAAGCAAATTTGTATCAAAAATTTTAAGTTTATTTGTATTAATCAAAATGGATGAGATATCCGTAAATATTCGTAAATATCCGCAAATATCTATTTATTTTCCGGATATCCGTTTTTCCGAATATCCGTATTTTTTCGAAGCAAAGCAAATACTAAAATTAGATATCCGTAACATTCGAAGCAAATCACAAATACCTTGAAAAACCCGGATATCCGATCCGTGCCCACCCCTATCTACGATGATAATGGTAATTGTATTCTAGTGATATCGATATATTACAAGATACTTCTTTTTTTTATCAAACATATTACAAGATACTATAAACGATGTTTACAGTGTTTAGTTTGGTTTCGACTGGTGCACAAAAAAAAAGTTTGGTTTTGACTTTAGTGTCAACTAAACTTGAACATTTCAGTTAAGTATGGTCTGGTCTAGAGCCAGAATTACTTAAAAAGGGATCATTGTTTGACTAATTTTTTTCAAACAGTTACTGTTTTGTGTATATAAAAAAATAAAAATTCAACATTTTTTTACACAAGAAGTACATTCATGAATGACTGTAACAAGAAACTGACGAGATAAGCTTATACAGTAGTATGTATTGTAGAGAGGTATAAAAGGACAAATAAATCATAGTCTCTCTGTTTAGATCTTTTGTATTGTAGTATATTTCTCTCCATGTGGTTTATGAATGGTCCCGTTTTAGAATAATCGTGACAATGCAGCTTGTCTTATCGCAACCATACGTACATGGCGAAAATAAGATTCTCTCTCTATCGAGCTTTTCTTTTTGTTCTCATTGCACACTCACATTACGAGTGTGACGACACACCGACCGATTTGTCTCATCAAAGGCCCATTTAAGGGTCTGGGCTTTAATGTTCTTAGGGGTTTGGCCCACTTAATTGATTTACCTGTAGGCTTCACGAGAGAGACTACAACGAGAAGCTGCAGAGCACAACTAATTTGTCTTTCCCTTGGGATATGTGTTGTTGTTTTTTCCGAGTTATGTTCCTTGCAGGCTGGGTCTATCCTGCTTCATGTAACACATTTTCAGACGTTTAAAAAAAATGCTGGGCTTCGTGACAGAGAAATGTATACAAACATTAACCATTATGATCTTGGCAGCAAAACCGATATAAGAGATCTTGATTTGGTTGATAAAGAGTTTTTATCTGTGCGTTGAACTTTGGTTTTCATGTAACCTCAACAAGATTGATACTAATAAAGACACTTGCCTTCTTCCACAGTATTTTCTCACCTTTCCAGTTTCTGTTCATAGTTTTGCAAATTTTCATCAACAAGATTTGATCCGAAGTCATAAATGTTTATAATCTGAAAGAATCTAATTACTATGACTCCAAAGCTAGTCAGAACTCTACTGATGATTTTGCCACCTAAGTTAAAAAAAAAAACTCTGCCCCTAGTAAACATAATCAATTGTCGTTTGCTGTCTGAAAAAGATAAACAATGATGACAAACAGAGAGCGTTTTGTGGAAAATACACAACGGAGCTGCGATTGTCGTAGAAAATGTTTGCAGATAAAAACAAGCAGTACTTTGACATAAGCTTACAAGCTCTTATGAAATAGTGAACAACAACAGCTTATGAAGAAGTGTATATGTACAAACATGATTTGGTTTATCAACCAAAAGTTTTCTCACTGCTGTAGCACATGTAAACGAACCCATCTTCGTCTTTGTAAGTTTCATAGATAGAGTCCATTAAAGTAGCTGCAGAGATGGAAAGAGGTTAATAAAAGAAGTAACCAAACAACGTTTTGCGCCTGGAAAGAGTTACAAGCAAACAAGAAACGCTCACCAGTTTGAGGGAGAGTGTTGTTGACGAAGACGAACAAGGCTTTACCAGGAGACAAGTGTAATCTAGCACTCAAGATGTATATGAATTGTCCAACCGACATATCTCGTGGAACCAGAAACCTAAAAGACAGATCATCATCATCATCTTTCAGACACACACAGAAAAAAAAAGATTTGAAATTAATTTACTTCTTTTTCTCGATTGCAGGCAGATCGGTTTTACAATACTTCTCAGCAATTACCTTGCAAATAAAAATAATTTGCAGAGGTTTAATTGAATTGAAATTATAAACCAATAAAAAATTGTCTTGTTTACATATGAATTAGGAAGATTATGAACAGACTTACTGGGATCCGAGTAGGGTACTTAGCGATGATCTCTCTCGATTCCGCGAGCCTTTCATCTGCAACAAATTAGAGAGATAATAAGCTCAATTTCAGTATTCTCGATTTTCAAATAAACCAGGAAGAAACCATAAGCAGATCGGATTCGATCGTGAAATAGATACGTACCTAACGTCAATTCTTCCTTGAATGATTTCATCTTTGACCACCGCAGATTTCTTCGACTTGCCGCTTCTGCTGTTACCCTTTTATCGAAGAAACGAACTCAAAACGAGTCAACTCAAAACGATAAAATCTTATATAACTATATAAACTTAATAAAATTTGATATAAAACAACAAAGCGGGGATAGCTCAGTTGGGAGAGCGTCAGACTGAAGATCTGAAGGTCGCGTGTTCGATCCACGCTCACCGCAATAATATTTTTTTTAATAATTTTTTAAAATTGTAAACCGGTTTCTACTTTCTGTTACCCTGGTTTAAGTTGATTCGACTCGATCTTCTTATCTTCTACACATCTCGCCTATCCGGTTCAATAGGGGTGGGCGTTCGGGTTCGGATTGGATATCTCGGTATTGGGATTTAGGATCCGTTCGAGTATTTTTACATATCGGATTAGGTTTGAATATTTTTAGTTCGCATTCGGTTATTTCGGGTCGGAATCGGATATTTAAATTTTGAAAGAAAAAATTCAAATTCTTCATTACTTAAATTTCATGTATTTAAAATTTGACTATTAAATTAACTGTTTTAAAAAATGTTTAATAAGTTAAACGATTAATAAGTTTGAAAATAAATTATTGAAAATAAAAATAATTATTTTGGTTGTATTTTCGAATATTGGATGCAAATTTTATTAAAATATGAAATAAAAAGCTTAATATGCATTTTGAATGAGTAACAAATCCATTTTTTTATAATTATATGTATATTATCTGATCTTAAACTATATATAATATTAATATAAATATTTTTAATAAAATGACACAAATAAACTAAGAATAAATAGGTATATATACATATGTATGGTTATCTTCAGATATCCGTTCGGGTTCGGATATTATCCGTTCGGGTTCGAATATCTAAACTCTCCTAAATTGAGTTGTTTACATTATGAGACACATTGTTCTCTTTTTTTACAACAAAAGACACTTAGAACTTGTGGGACACTTTCTCCTTCTCTCTCTTCATTATGTTTACGAGAATAACCCTGGTTGGAGAAAGAGGAAGATTTTGACTTTAGTTGGATTTAGACAAAGAAGTTTATTTATTTTTATGTTTAATTGTTAGCCACAAGATGTAAAAGTAACATTTCATCTTACGGTGTGTGTTTGTTCTTTGTGTTTGAATAAAAGATAATATTGATATTTTAATTAGTTTTACTTGTAGGAATGAAAGTGTATTTTTTATTTTAAATATCTTTTCATTGTTATTAGTTTACCTCTCTTTTCTTTATTTGCTTGTTTTTCAAAACTGAGAATATATATATCAATAAACTGGATATAATAAATTGTAATATTTTATTCTCTATATTTTGACATCCATTTATATATATTTTTCTTATAATTTTACATTTATACATGTAGACGCGAGAATCATGGACAAGCTAGTCATGGACAAACAAACGTGGATGAGATAATAGTTGTGGATAACCAAATTTGTAGATATACAAGTTGTGGATAACCCAATACACAATTCATCTCAGCTCCATCATGATTAGTTCAGGGAAGCAAATCCCTGTTAAAGTTTGAACATAAATATTATCTACATAATTCATGTGCACCATTAAAATTAGATGGAAAAAAATATGTCTTTGCAAAAAGACCATCTGAATGGATTCTATGGACCATTATTTGTGAGCCAGTAGGTGTGGACATGGACTAGAACATGTACATAGATTATAGAACATTCTTTTGTTAATAATATGTGTTACGAGATATTTTTAGCTTATTTATTTGCATTTGATAGGATCTAGATTATACAATTAAAAATTTGTGGCTAAATCAAAAGATCCATAAAGCACATTTTAAAAAATTTGGGATGAAAACGTGAATAATTAAAATGAGAAGGACCACAATTACTAAAAAATGAAATTTCACCATTGTTGTTTTTGCTCTCTTGAGCGTAACACAGTTTACGGACTCGTAGCAGATCAAACCGGAGGATATCATTAACTCTACGTACCTCTCTATCCACCCTTCTATGCGGTTACGCCCGTAATTGATCCAAAACAAGTGAAAAATTTATAGATCTAAGGTATCAGACCTCTCCTCCCTCTCCAATTCCACCTCTTTTCTTTGTTTATGGTGGCTACATAAATGGAGAGAGATGAATACGTGGAGAGGAAATTACAAATCAGACAAGCATTAAGGATTCTGGATTTGTGGTGTTTTGCTACAATTGATGAAGAAGAAAAATGAGATGATTTGGTAAAATTAGGATTAGAGATTGGGGAAATAAATCTGAGATTCCAAAGTGATTCTGGAAAGAGGATTACATGACTTTTTGAAATAAAAAAGAAATAAATGTTTGAATTTATTTTTAAAGGATAAATGCTTAATTACGAAAGAAGGCATGTTGAAGAGAAACAAACTTGAGGATATAAAAGACAATTGACATATAAAAAGTGTGCTTCCAGCACAAGTGTCTGATTGTGTAAATTGAAAGTGGAAATGTGTCTTAGAGGGTAAAAAAATCTTTTTCCAAACTCGTCAAAACTCTTTATGACATCTCTAATCATGTTGTTTCCTTGAACACAATTAACACTCACTTGTAAAACCAATTAAGAAAAAACGGAATCCTCTGTTTATTATCCCCTAAGCTTAGCAGAACTCATAACAATAAAAACACAGGATTACTAAATAATGGTCAATCGTCAAGTAAAACAGACACTGGACTCTTTCTGAAAGGATCAACCTGAGCCAATTTCGCAGCAAGACTCTTATTCGGGAACACATTATCCACCTTCATCCTCTCACTCATCCCATAAGCATGTGCCTTAGCATTGATATAAGCCAAAAGCACAGTCTCATACTGCATTAGCTGAGCTGCATACCCTGCTCTCTTCATCCTCATGAAAACCTTCTCCGTGTTATGAACATCCCCTCTCTTCGCGTACTCCTCAAGTATCACCATGTACGAAATAAACAAAGGTCTCCAGTTGTTATCCTTCGTCGCTTTGCTCAATATCATCTCAGCTTTTCCAACTTCTCCTGCTTTGATGTAAAGCTTCACAAGCGCGTGCCACGTCGAAGGACCGATCTTGACACCTGCACTAGCGATTCTTTTAACCAGGTTTTTGCCTTTTGTTAGCATCTTGTTCTCAGTGTATATCTCCATGAGGGTGAAATACGGAAGCATAGGAATAAGTTTGTATCTCTCCACGAGTTTATCAAACACTGCTTCTGCTTCTTCGATTTCCTTCAGCTTTCCCCATGCTTTGATAGCAGAAATGCAGTTATCATACCTCAAAGTCTGTTCAACAAACCTACTCAACCTTCTCACGTTCTCCTTATCTCCAATGTCTGCATAAAGAGGGAGTAAAGAACGGCACACCCATGGAGTTTGCTCCAAGCCTTCCCCTTCTATTTCCTTCATAATTTCTTCAGCTCTCTCTTTAACCCCTGCTCTTATGTAGTACCTAGCAAGTGTAGCTTGTAACTCAGGATCTAGCTCAATACCTTCTTCCTTCATCGTCTCCACAAGCTTGTCCATTCCAGCTATATCCCCGGCTAAACCTTTAGTATTGATAAGAAACTGATAGGTTCCCCGAGTGGGTTTGATCTTTTCTTTCTCCATGAGTAACAAAACATCAGGTATCTTCTTTCTATCAAGCTTGCTGTAGAGGAGAAGCATCTGGTTGCAAGCAAACACACTCGTTGGGAATTTTAATTCTCTCATTTTGTTGAAAAGGTCTTCAGATCTTTTCACGTGGAGTTTAAGCACACAGTTTGCAAGCAGTGTTCTGTATACTATTTCTCCTCTGAAAGATTCTGGAATATCATTCAAAAAGGTTTCAGCCTTTTGTAAACTATGAACCTTAGCCACCAAATCCAGTTGAGAAGCGTAGTTTGCTTCTGTGAACTCAAACTGTGTGTTAGCTCGCAACCACTCCCAAAGCTGCAAAGACATAGCGTAGGATCTGCGTTTACGCAGGTTGTGAACGGTAAGAGAAACCTCAGCTTGACTCAAATCTTTACCTTCTTTGACCCACTGTTGAAGAACATGTTTCACTGATTTATAAGCAACAATGGAGTCATACAACTCACAACGTCCTCTTGTCTTTTTAGCTTTCCCCTTGTTTGAATGCTCTAATTCTACTTCAAGACCATCATCAGAGGTATCTATGTCACTACCAAGCTCAGAATCGAATAGGGAATCATCTTCAACTCCCTCTGATACATCCCCAGGACCAGGAAATGCCAACTCTGGTTCGAACTCCTTCTCTTCCTCATCCACAGGACCAGGAAATGCCAACTCTGGTTCAAACTCCTTCTTCTCTTCCTCATTTCCTTTAACATAAGCTAGAGAAGATAGCTTGTTGATGCCAATGAAGCGTGACAACACATCTCTTACGGAGTAGTCTCTTATCAAACCTTGTGATTTATCACTAAAATTCAATTCAGATGCTCTGAAAGCACTTTCTTTGGTACCATTTGATATCTCTAGCTTACTAATAGCACCAAACGAAGAAGGCGCAAGACTAAATCTTGAACTCCTAAAACACACAAACAATTAAGAGAATTAAAAAAACAAAACCTTTAAAATCAAAATCACACACTAAAGAAAGAAACTAAGATGGAACATACAAGAGCTCTTAAAACAAAAACAAAAAACCAGAAAATAAGAAGCTTTTATACCTTCGCAGGATCCTCGAAATCGAATTCATAACTTCCTTCACCTTACCCTGAGAAACAAATTCGACACTGTAAGCAGTAAAAATCGAAAACCCATTTCTCGTAGAGTAAACACGAACAAGAAAAGAGAAAACTTGGTGAAATTAAAATCGATCCTAATAAACGCTAAACGCGGAAATGGAAACGGCGTTTGAGAGAGAGAAGAGAGAGGGAAGCTTACAGTACGACGGACTTTTACCCGGCGGATAGAGAAGCGATCGAAACACGACAAAAAAAGAGAGAGAGAGAAACCTTTAGGGTTTAATGCCAGCTAGCATGCAAGGGGTTTATAGCCTTTTTGTTTTCCTTTCCAAACGTGTGAGGTAGTTAAAGGGTATATTGGTCAAATCGAATAAGCGCATCTTTGGTGCCAAAATCTTATATGTATACAAATGTTTGAAATAAAAGTAACCAATTATAAATGATATTCGTTGAAATTTATTCAAACAGAGGTCAGGCATAATACCCAATGGTCTTCTCTGTGTATGTTTTTTTTTCTAATCCCAATCCCAAAGCTTTTAAGATTATCCATAATTACAGTCAAAGCTTATTAAATCATGTATAATGAGAGGCTTTTAAAGCTGGAAGGTGAGAGTAATTAAAGTTTAATAAAACAAAATAGCTTAGTTCCTTCCATGTTTATAAATGGAAAAAACAGAGACCTGAGTCAAGAGAGAACAGAAATCTGAAAAGAAGATAAAAACTTACTAATTACAGTAAATTAATTCGTAACTAAGCTTTCCAGAAATTTCCTTGAAGCATCGTTACACTCACTTTTTTCTTTTTATCAGTACATAACAAAACCTCCAAAAAACCCCATTTCCATGTTTACTCTCTCCTCCTCCTCCGTAACAGTCATCTCCGATGACCTAAAATCGCCGGAATAACCTCTTCCCGTAGCTCACTAACCTAGTTTTCACGTCGTTTTACACATTCTCTCTTTGATCGGCCGTCCATAAACAGCTTTCCGGTGAGCTTCCTCCTATCTTCTCCTCTGGTCTTGAAATCGTTGCTTCTTTGGTGATTTTTAAGAAACTTTTAGCTGTTTCCGTATAGTACAACGCAATGCTTTTACAGATTCATCTCCTTGCACCGTGTTTGGGGATTTCTAGGTCAAATCCTACTCTCGATCGAGCTATCTTGCTTACACACTAATCGCTTTAAGCATTACGTTAACTTAAAGAGTCCAATACTCAAATAGAATGATGAGCTTAAAAGCTTACACTCTCTGTTTTTTACTTTTGTTGCAGCTAAATTTCGTCTCTATGTTGCAACCAAAGGGTGAAGGTGGAGAAGAGAACCCTAACTTCAAGTGGGGACTTAAGAAAGCGGTGGGGCGGACTGATAAAACCGTTAGCTTTTACGAATCTTTTACCTATGAGGACATTGAGTACCGCCTCTTCGACTGTGCTTACTTCCAAATCCAAGGTCAATGCGAGACCTCTATCGGGAAGCTTATCAGGATGTATGAGACATCGGCAGGTGAGAAGAAAGTGAAGGTGCTCTGGTTTTTCCGGCCTATGGACATTCGCAGCTACTTGAGAGATTATGTGCCGCAGTGGGATGAGTTGTTTCTTGCTTGTGGTGATGACCCTGGGGTTTACAATATCAACGATGTTGTGAGTGTTTCCATCTACTAACGTAACGTTCTGTTCTTAGTGTATATTGTTTGATCTTTGTTTGTTTTTGTTTGTGTAGGATACAATCTTGGGGAAATGCAGTGTTGTGTGCTTATCTGATGATCAAAGAAACCCACCACCAGGGAGAAGGGAGCTCAGGAACGCTCGCTATTTCTTCTCCCGCACCTTTGATACGAAGCTGAAGATTATTTCTGAGGACTTTGCAGATGCAATAGCTGGAGTTAAAGGTTTGGATTAGAACAAAATCTTGGCAAAAGCTTTGTTGGGGGAACTAAGGAAGCTGATTTTACTTCCAACTGTCTCTAATAATGCAGTGCAGGATTTCTTCAACAAGAGAATGGATAAGGAGGCTCTAAAACGCCTAAACTCAAACGCAGCTCCGGTGAAATCTTTTTGTTCAGAGTCGCGGTTGGAAAAAAACTATGACAGAGATGGAAAGCTGACGTGTAAAACAAGTCCAGTAAAGAAAGGTTAATTCTTTGTTCTTATCTTTTTGGCTCATTTGTATTGTGCAATAGATAGAACAGATTGACACTAACCTTTCACTGTGACAGAATTATTGGCTGATCGTGTACATGTGAAGAAGAACCCTCCTGTCAGTGCTGAGATCACTTCAAGAGGTCTGAAACACAAAACCACACCATTAGGGAGTCCAGTTGGTTCAGGTTCATCAGGTGATCAAAAACCTTTTAAAAGGAGGAAGCTTCTACTCAATACTCCAGATTCAGATTGTTGCCCTGATCCAGGAGAGAAGAAATTCAACAAAAATCCGCCTCTTGTAGACAAAGCTCAAAGTCAGTCAATTGTAGAGAAAGCTCGTCAGATTACTGTGCGTTCTGTGACTTCTGTCTCTATTTTACTGGATTAGCTAAGAGAAACGTTAACAATGTACATCACAAACTTTTGTGAAATGAACTATTATTTAAATTGTCTATAGACTAAATTCATTTTCTTCTTGTGACATCGATTGTTCATAGTCTAAATTTACATAGTATTCACTCATGACATTTAAATTCTTCTTTCATTCCTTACAGGGTAAAAGCAGCTGGTACAAGAAACTAGTAAGTTCTTTGGCACCTTAACTATGGCTATTCCTCTCATGTAGGCCAGCTGTATTACAATAATGTTTTTTCGTCTGAGAAGAATCTGAAACAATGTTTTACAAGCTGTTGGCTTTCTTAACACGAAAGCCAAGGAAATTTTGAAGTTCACAGAAAACTATATACTCAACATTGTTTTTTTTTTCATTTAACTCTGCTGTATACATTTTCCCAGAATTTCGAGGAGGAACTAAAAGAAGCTATTAAAACAGAAAGGTTGGTCTTGTTTGAAAACCTGGAGCCATCATACACATCGGTGGAGGTGGAGGTATGTGATCCTGTATTGAAAAGAAGGACATAATCCATTATATAGATGACATTCACTACATCCATGATCTTAGGTTGATCTGAAAAATGGGTATGTAAACGATCCAATTGTTATTTTAGTTCATGATGAATTTTGCTAAAGGAGCTTTCTTCTTGATGAGTTTTGAGATAAGAGATATCTCACCATTGACAATATGCATGTATTAAACATATTTCTTAGAATGATCTTTGAGAAATATCGTTTCCTCATCCTATTCAATGTTGAGAACACAATCCCATGATCAAGTTATGGTTTTAGCAATCATTATGCAAAAGACTTCAAAATACAGTGACACTCATCGCCGTTTGATTATATTGTTGCGTGCAGAATCTTTGTAGTCAAGCTCTCAAGGAACGTGTTGATGCCAAGATGATCCCAGCAAATCTTGTCTCTAACCCACATATTGGTATACCTGCTTTTAAACCCACCTTTTTGGTGTATGTGATTAAGCTCCAACATTACTTATATATAAAGAAAATAACTGGCAACGGCAACAAAGCTAACTTCATTTTCTAATTAGGGAGAGCTCTCGTGATCTTTGAAACCAAAAAGGCAGCTGAGAAGGCCATGTCTCGGTTAGCCAGAGGGTGCCTGATGTTAGACGACCAGAGGTTACTATGTCATGTTCTATCTCTCACAGATGTGAAAACTTCATCAATCGTTTCCTCTTATATGATACTTTTTACAGGCCTCTATTGGGTAGCAGAGATTTCCCAAAGGAAGTCGGAGAATGTGGAAGCTTTACTGGACATCAGAGGCTGGTGGATAGAGCTCAGATGTCGATAGAGAAGGTAAGGTGTTGCAAGAGTCATGTGAAACGTTTTTTTTTTCTTTTTTCAAACGTTAACTATGTCCAAAGTAGCAAACCATGGTCTCACACAGTTTAGTTCTTTGTTTAAAAGAGAAAGGCCGTTTCTACAGCACACTGCACGCAGCCAAACCACATTGTACACGAGATGGCGGTGGAATGGAAAGCTCTGAATGCAAAGTCAGAATGGAAATGGACGAGGTTATTAGAGGTATGTTCTTTCAATTCTCATTTCACACATCTTATGCTGTCCTTCACAAATTTTTTGTTTATCTCCCTTCCTCATGTGTGAAATGAGAATTGAAAGAACGTACCTCTAATAACCTCGTCCACTTCCCTTCCTCATATATTGTAGGAAGAAGCCAAGGAAATTAACATCATCTTCAGGAGTAAAAACGCAAGAGGATAGTAGGAGTACGATGCACGTCCATTGTCTCAGGAGCATAAGAGAGATCACAATTTCGGATTTTGGTTTAGGTTTTTGGAACATAAGTTAATACCAAGCCCCTTTTGTATCTTTGGGTGGCATTGACTTAATACTCTTACTCGCACTGATGCTCATTTCGGAATTAGGACATAGGGGTGGTACATAAACGATTTGGCAGCTTTTATTGTCGTTGAAACTTTGTTGCCAGGGAAGGAAAACACATAAATTTTTAAGTGATTAATTTTGGATATTGTATATCATATCTATCACTAATTCACTATATAAGTATCAAGTGTAGTTTGACACGTGCGTAATGTGTATACGCGTTAATTTCACTTAAGAGTGACCAATTCCAATTTTTTTGGAATCTCCCAAAGTGCCGGCCACTAAAAAAAAGGAGCATATCAGCGAAGAGACTCAGAGAAGAAAGAAACGTTCGCGGGATCCTTGACAACAAAAACAATCCTCAACTCGATCATTCATCACATCATGTGGAGAAGAATCGTATCCTCTCATCTCAAAACCCTAGCCGCCGATATCGCCGCTGCTTCTCCTCGTCGATCCATAGCCACCACCGCGAGACCCGTTCGCTTACATCTCGCTGCCAATCCCGCTAATTCATCCGTCATCCCTCGCTGTTTCAGCTCCGAATCAGGTTGCGTATCATCGCTATAGTTCTTTACGTTTTCAGATCTCGCCTTGTGACTCTGTTTATGGTGGGATTAGATGCAATTCTCGCCGTAATATCGTATCAATCGCCTACGTCGTTGTTATCCAAGTTTTTTTTGTCATTCTCTCGTCACTATTGTGATGATTTTGTTTTTTCTCTTTACCATGAAAGCTGTTGCAAGAGCGTGGTGAATGACTGTTATTACCTTTTTTTTTTACTTTGCAGTAGAGACAATAGCGAAGAAGAAGGTGGAGGATGTAATGCCCATTGCAACTGGACACGAGAAGGAGGAGCTTGAAGCTGAACTTGAGGTGCTTCCTCGTGTTTTCTTCGTCTCTATGCTTTTTAACATATGTATGAGTATGACACTGTGATGCATATGTGTCAGATGATTTTTGACATTACGATTCTACTCTTCAGTTGATTAAATCAGATTTGACTTTGCTGTTTTTTTTTTTTTTTGCAGGGGAGGAGGCTGCTTGACATTGACTTCCCCGAAGGTCTTTTTGGAACTAAGGTTTGTTTTGTTTCTATTTACAAGAGATAGTTCGCGACTCTCACTGTTAATGTTTTAATCTATATTCTCACCGCCGAGTTTACTCCTCATCAGTGTTTCTAGGCATCAAATATATATATAGACTTCTACATTTATCACCAGAACTCGGGGGTATAGCTAAAACAAACCTCATTCAAACGAAGGAAACCTAACTCAAACTAAGGACACCTAACTCTGACTATTACTGTTGTTATCCATGGCTTTATATTTATCCAGTTAATCTATTTCAATGACCTCATAAATTAAATATCTCCTGATGCTTATCTCATCATGCAAATTGAATTGAGTCCAGTTAGTTTACTGACCTATATGGATCTCCCTTTGTTTTGTAATCTGTATAAATTCATCACCCAACACTGCCTGGGCATGCAGCTATCACTTCTGATATTACTTTTGTCATATTTCCAAGTTTTTTTTTTTTTTGGATAAAGCACTATCTTGGATTGAGTTGTATATAGGGTTTGGTGAATTCAACAAGTCTCTTAGCTGGGTTTGTTAGTGTACCATTATCCACTGTTTATGATGACCGTATGTCCACGATGATGACGAAAATTTGCATGTTTGTAGATTATGAAAAGCAATTTTTAGCATTCCCAAGTATCTTTTCCTGAATTACTGAAATCTACAGGATTATACGAGTGCTGAATTTTGCATACACAATTGAGATTATCATGTCATTTATCTCTTCAGTGAGCAGCATTCATTTTCGTTCGGCTACCATTTGATATTTTGTATCTTACTGATACCTAACTGTATTTACCTTAGGAAGCTCCTGCGATAGTAAAGTCCTACTATGACAAGAGAATTGTCGGATGCCCTGGTGGTGAAGGCGGTAAGTTCACCTCCTCATCCTTTCTCTTTAATGAAGCAAACTTCAACATTTTCATCGTTGACTGTTGTCTTTTATATGTATCTAACAAAGTAACAAACCAATGAGTTGTCTGATCGACATTCTTCCCGACAACTGCAGAGGACGAGCACGACGTTGTGTGGTTCTGGCTGGAGAAAGGAAAGTCTTTTGAGTGCCCGGTTTGCACTCAGTACTTTGAGGTAGGTTAAACTTAGAATTATATTGCTCTAAATGGTAAACACATATACATGGCTCAGACGAATCTGTAATGGTTAGAGCAAGAACTCGTTGAGATTGGATACTGAATTGGTTTGGTGTTGCAGCTGGAAGTGGTTGGTCCCGGTGGGCCTCCTGATGGCCACGGTGATGAAGACGATGAGCACCACCACTGATTCCGGCTTCTCACTTTGCTGAGAGATTAACATTCTGTTTTCATATAGTTTACAAATTTTTGTTGGAATAAAAAAAATTCCGCCGTTACACAGTTGAAACATGTTTCTGATGTTTTTTTTTTTTTTTGACCTGAGAACAACACTCGTTATCGAAGTTTCTAAATGCAAATGACTCCTTTGAGAACAAGTCCAGTAGCCAATTTATCTTTAAGATCAAAAGCTGACACAGTCAAGACATGTAGTTCTCAAGTTCGAAGCCTACCTTGTGCAGGCATTTTACAATTTAAACAGAACATGATTGACACGTGCGTGGTTTCTCACGTACGAGTTAAAGAGTGAGGAGATTATTTTCGCCAAAGGTCAACTGAGAAAGGAGAAGAGATTGGAGATTCGGTAATCCTTGGAGTTTGGAGGGGGTGACCTGAGAGATTCACGACACATAAAAACAAATCTGTTATCATCATGTGGAGAAGAATCGTCTCCTCTGGTCTAAAAACCCTAGCCGCCGCCGATGTGGCCGCTGCTGCTTCTCCTCGTCGACCAATCGTCGGCTTCAATCGATCAGCCAATCCTGCTTCATCTTCCCTTCTCCCTCGCCAGTTTACCTCCGAATCAGGTGAATAAACGTTGCTTCAGATCTCGTCGGCTTAAGACTCAAATTCTCGTTGTAGATTTAAAGGATAGATAAAAAAAATGTATTGGTCTGATGAGATTCTTAATGCGAATTGCCAAAGTAGGTTTGGGTTATTAATACTCACTCTCATGTCGCTGTTGAATTAAGTTTGCTGATATTCTCTAGTATTGGCACTACTTTTGTCTACCTAATTTGCTGTATTGGAGATTTAATGAGTGATGTACACTATGCAGTTGCGAAAAAGAAGGTGGAGGATGTAATGCCCATCGCCACTGGACATGAGAAGGAGGAACTTGAAGCTGAGCTTGAGGTAATTAATTCCTTGTGTATGCATTTTTTAATATATATGCTTTAGTACAAATGTGTTTTTACTGCAACTCCAACACTTGTTATCATGATTACCCACTGCTCCATAAAACTACTTCCGCCATAACTATTTTTATCGTTGGAATCAGGGGAGGAGGCTGCTTGACATTGACTTCCCTGAAGGTCCTTTTGGAACTAAGGTTTGTTTATTCTCTCCTATTTTAAGATATATGTCCTAACTGAGTGGTGCATTCAACATTTCTTTTAAGCTGTATTTTAGTTTATTATGGTCCACACTCACCGTGATGCTTATGTTCATCATGATGAAAATAGATTTGTATATGTCATATACAGATCATGTGCACATGTAGCATGGAGATTTTTCTTCTTCTTAAGAATCCTTTCCCGGAATTAACTGAATATCATAGGGTTACTTATATTGAGACAATTTTCATTTCTCGTGTCATTTTATTTTTGAGTGAGCTGCATTTATTATCGTTTTGCCTAGCGTTTGATACATACATATACACTAACCAAATTGTATTTACCTCAGGAAGCTCCTGCTATCGTAAAATCCTACTATGACAAGCGAATTGTGGGATGCCCCGGTGGCGAAGGCGGTAAGTTCATCCATTCTTTACTCTTTAGTCAGTGTCATTAATGACGAGAAAGAGGCGTAAAAATTAATGGCTAGTCTTAATCTTTAATTATTGCCTCATTGCAAGTTTTTTGGTGATACTTTCACACATCTATTAACTAACCACTGCTTTGTTCTGATCAACTGTAGAGGATGAACACGACGTTGTCTGGTTCTGGCTCGAGAAGGGAAAGTCCTTTGAATGCCCGGTTTGCACTCAGTACTTTGAGGTAAGTTAAAACTCGTGTATCACCATACGAAACTGAAAAAAAGGACTAGTTGAAAAATTTTCAATTATGAAAAATATTGAATTGGTTAAACATATGTTTATTTGCAGCTGGAAGTGGTTGGTCCAGGTGGGCCGCCTGATGGTCACGGTGACGAAGACGATGAGCACCACCACTGATTCGAGCCACGAGTTTTGATTATTTTTAAAAAACTTTCGATTGGAATAAAAGGATATATACGCCTCTGGTGAAACCCAGTTGAGAATGTTTTTGATCCTTTGTAGAAACATCAGTCGGTATTGGAAGTTGTCAAACTCTCACGACCGTTGTTTAACATTTGTAAGAATTCTTGAATCAGAATCATTCTTGCCTTTTGCATATTACTACACACTCTTACCTTTTCATTTTATGGTTCCTGTCTTTTCATATTGTGGACGTTTTGATCATGTGCCCTTATTACTTGTGAAAGGCCATATAGTTCAATAATATTATCAAGAAATCGATTTTCTTCCAACCTTGTTCATTAATTGGTTTAACACTAGTTACTCATACAATGCACTTACGTGTTATTTTATTTATATACATAAAACCAAAAAAAACACGGCGGCCAAAAGCGGTGGCCGGTGGAGGTTAACATCAAGGCCACTTTTATTTCCTCGCTACGTAGCTATCTGTCGGTTCTTTCCTTACGTTCTCTTCTTAAATTATCTTCTCAATGGTTAGAAAAAAAAAAAAAAAAAAACCGAAATTAATCTAACTCGATTTACCGAAAGTGAAAATATGCAGATTGTTGATGTTTGAAAATTGCGTCACTTCTTATTCATTTCATATGCCTTTTTGGTGTCATATTATGTTCACATTGAAAAGAGCAAGCAGAAACCTAAACAAAACCTAATTAGCTATAAAATATAAATAAAAATAACATAAGGACAATGTTTTCGAAAAAAATTCCTGAGGAATATATTCTAAAGTTTAATAATAGTCTTTTGAATATTAAAACAAAAGAAGGAAACAAACTATAAAGAAAAATAATAATGTTAGCTCAAAAAAAAGAACGTCGGAGTTCGATATTCTGTTTCTACTCAAGACAAATCACCAGTATATATTAGTGATATATCGATGTTCGACACAGCCCTCACTATGAACCCCTTCGTCTTCAGATTTCAGAGTCAGACCTGCATGCATGTATAGTATAATAGTATAGTAGTATACACATCTATATGCTCTTAACTTTAATTTAGCATACATACTATGGTGGAAAAATCATATTATGTCTTTAGGATTATGTGACGATTTTTTTCCTATCCATTTAAGGTCTTTAAAAACATATTAAATAAAATTAAACACGTATATTTTGTTTGCTGACTAATATACACGTGTTTAATATTCATTTCATATTTATACTCATTATTAGTTGTTGTTATATGGAGACTGGCATACTGGAAAGCTAAATTCAAGAGTTGTACATGATAGAATATTGTTTTTAAACAGAAGCAAAAATAAATATAATACAGCATAATCTAATTTTTGTGTACCAAAATTGGGTGATTGTGGTGGGATGGTAAAGAGATAGATTTGGACATCAATATGTTTTAGTTTTAATCTATTTATTGCACGAAATTAAATCACAATTATTTCTAATTATTTATCACAGATATGAATTCATGTTTTAAGATCCATTTAATTTCCAAAAAAATAATTTATCTATGGATTTTACCTTCCATAAAAAAATAGTCTAGATCTTCCATAGATGTAGAATACCCCAGATTAATCAGAAAAATAATTGTGTAACAAAACATAACTACCCATTTATTGGAAATTTACTTTATTTTATAGCATCGCTAATGCTGAAAAATTATGCCTAAAACTATCTGTCGATATAATTACACCATCGTAACAATCAGATGCTACTTGTCCCCATTTAAAGAAGAGTGATTTTCATCCAGAGTCAGTTTCAAGTTATTTATTACATTAAAAGACACTTATTGCTACTAGGGTAGTTTATTATGGTTATTTACTTTGATGCCCTCAAATACAACCAAACGATAATTAGACTCTTTAACTTGTAGACCCATCATCTTTCTCTTTCTTCATTTTCTTTTTTCTCATTCTCGTTCTTTCTCCTTTTTAACAGAGAATTGAATTTATAAAACTCATTGTTTCTCAACCATCTAAAACATAGTTCCTAGATCTTTTGATTATTATAAAACTCATTGTTTCTCCTCCTATCGTTTTATTTTCTCAATCTAGAAGACTCATTTTTTAAAAAAATCAACCTGTAAATTATTAGTCACGCAGTTCCACCAGAACTCTTGTCAAATTTGTTAAATTCTTAAAACCCATTACCATCTGAAGGTGAATCCCACATCTTTCTTCTATGCTTTTTATATCTCTGGTTTTGTCTGATTGTTAAATCTGGTGTTTTTTTTTTGAAGTGAAAATGGTGGTGTTTGTTTCTTGAAACAATATCATAAAAAGATAGTTTCAAGTTTATTATATCACAATAAGACAGTTTGTTCTACCAAAACACTTTTTTCCTAATATATCTTCTTTTTCTTTAACTAAAATAGTCCCTTCCTAACTAAATAATAAAATAATCACTTTATTCTTAACTTTTTTTATGCTTACAGAGAATTAAAACTACGAAAGTCATTTTTTGGTAAATCTCAACTTGAAGAGATAAAGATCCATGATTACAACTTCATCATCTTGTCTAAAAACCATTCTTCTGCTGCAACAAGACCACCTATGTCTCCATCTCATCTTTTCCTTTTTTCCTCTCCACTTTCGTCGTATCCTTCTCGTCGTCGTGTTCATCGTCTCCTTCTCATCGTGCCTTCGTCGTCTCCTTCGTGTTCTCAACGCCGCCTACATCTCGCCGTTTTCATCTCCTCCATCTCGTCGTTTTCCTTCGTTGCAAAAGTTCGATGAACAACAACGGCCAGTTTTGATTTTATTGAAGATCTAGTTCCTAGACATTTGAATATATTCATTTCTGACAGCAAGATCTCCAATCTAGTCATCTCTTCAGGTTCAGACATTCTGAAGAACCTCCAATTTTCCTGCAAAATTCGTAACTAGGATTGAGGAAGAAGATGAAATAATTACAATAATACCATTAATGAATTAATATTAAAAAAACGTGTACACGTAGACATGTGTACAAGTGTACATTCTAAGTTTACATGTAGATGTTTATTAATTAAACGTACATGTAGTATTTGTAAAAATCATTAAAATCCCTCATATGTCATGTACACCACTTTCATCTTTGATGGACACATGTGTACCATATGGTGTTCATGTGATTTTTATAAGAATAATTTTATCTTGACACAACTAAATTGTAACTATACATAACATACACAACTAAATAGTACACAAAATAATAATAGTTTTATCTTTGATGGACACGTGTGTACCATCTAGTGTTCATGTAATTTTTATAAG